TATATATATATATATATATATATATCATTGAAGTTTAAGTGTTAGATATATGTAAGCATAAGAATTGAGTGGTATGCATGTAAATCATCTTAAATTTTCATATTTACATATAAATGTATTTATATATGCAATCTACAATTTTTTAGCTTCACATAAAACACATTTTTACACGTAGCTTTATGATTCTGATGTGTCGTAAATATAAATATGAAAATTTAGAAATTAGAAATATATATATGTTAGTATAATTTGAGGTGCATCAAGAACACTTCAATCAAATTCAAAAAGTAATAATATTATAAAATTCCTATCATCAGTTGTGATGAAGGCGGTCTTCTTAGCATCGAACAAGTGTATCTTTATGTGATGGTATATGACTCGACCCACAATTACACGGTTATTTAGTTTCCAAAAGATGGCCAAAATTTTGACCCAATATATCTTAGGGGCAAGTACGCAAAATGATATGTTATAGAATTTTATAATTTGATGTGCACACTATGGCTATTATGCAAGTATACTTATAATTTCAAGTAATAAAGAATTCCTTTTAAAAACCTCAGTATCGATCCCAAAGAGATGCAATAACTTTATATAATGACTTATAAAATTCCTACGTAAAACAATAGATACTTATTTAAGAAAAAAAAAGTAATTAATACCAATAAGTGTAGTTTTAAAACTAAAATAAAAATTCTAAGTGTTTCTAAGATATCTAAGTGTAGAAGAGTTTCAAATTATGTGAAGAATCTTCCTCCTAGCTAGTTTACTCCAAAATACAAAAATAAAGACTCACACACCCGCACACAAGACTCTCTCCAAAGACTCATGCCAATACTACACACCAAAGCTCTTCCCAACTTTTCCACATCCTTTTTCGGTCAACCAATGGCTCTATTAAATAAAGCTCTCAAAATAACCAAGAGTCGTTTTAAGCACCTCTTCAAAATTCATCCACATTCATTTCACAAAGTCAAAAACCATCCCTGGCGCCTAGGAGCCCAACTGTTGCGCCTAGACGCCACCCTTCTAGAAGATGTGCATAACTGACTGAAGCCTAGGAGTCCGATCTTGGCGCCATGATGCTGGAGCTTTCTACAGTATGGTGCTTATGCCCCAGAAGCTGACGCCTAGGCGCCAGTTTAAGATTTTATCTCCTTGCTCCATTTTTGTTCTTTTTTTTCAAAATTCCATTTATTGTACTTAAAATCAAAAATATGCAAAATAACTTCCATTAAAGTGGAATATCATTAAAAATGATAATAAAATACATATAAAAAATTAGCATATTTTAAGGTGTATCAAATCTCCTCAAACGTAAATGTTATTTGTCCTCAAGTAACTTATTTATATAAAAATAAGTATTCTAACTTATGGTAGTGGACCTTATTACAGATTCCTATACTTTAACTCTAGAAATATAATAATAAAACTTTTTTTAGAAAAAAAATTAACAATTCAAGTAGAACTGGGAAAAATGTAAATATGAAAGACTTGAAAGAATCCTTTCTTGGAATATAACTTCAGCATTAAACGATAAACTAAACACTAGAAGTCAAATTTAGGAGAAAGAATCAATGAAAAACACTCAGGATAAAAAATTAACTATCAAAACTTGAACATATAAGATCCTTATTTTCAAAATGATTGTCAAACTTGGAGCTGAACCAAATCATAAATTAAATATCAAAACCCAAAACAACTCTAAAATCTGCCAACTTTAATCATGGGAACCACCACTAGGTAGATCAATCGTAAACCTTAGGTTAGCCAACTTAAAAATAAAACCCAGGATCACACATACTCTAGTTCAATATAAAATCATAATTTAGATTACTAGGTGTCTTACTTAGTATTAAGGAGTACGACATATAAAATAAATTGTCTTATCCCCTTTGATTATGTAAATGCTCTTGGATGAAGTAACCTGTGGTTACTGACAAAAGCATCTCAAACCACTTAATAGTAAGGGTCAACATTCCTGGTAATAGCTGAGACACCTCTTACCGTTTAGTTGGTTAATAATCTAAGGATACTTATGCAGCTGTAATGATGGAAAGTCGAAGACATCTTGACCGAAGATGTTATTTCCAAAAATTAGGTTATTCCACTCATTTAGCATCCTTAGAGAGTCTATTTTTATTTTTGGGTTAGAACTTCACTTTCATTTGGGACTAGAATGTGAGTATGATTGTCTTTTTCTCTGGTAATGGTTTGGTACTTAATTGTACCTGCGGTAGAAAGTCATAATATTTGGGTTTATGACGAGATTATATTTTCTGGGTATTTGTAATTAGTTTGGTTCTTTTGTTTGTGTCTTTTATGAGAAAAATCTTTATTTTATTGAAGGTTCTCTTGTTCTTCCCTATGATGCTTGTGCATCAGGAATCTCTGTTTTACCCAAGCCATGACCATGGAAAAGCTTGGACAGACTATGCTTCTGCAGATAACCGTTAGGTCCATTTTTTTAAGATAGATGTTTTTTTTTTATATTTTTTAAATAACTCATTTTTAGTCGAACACGACTGAATATGAATAAATCAAATTTAATTTGTACCAATCACAAATATATTGTTTACGAACATAATTAAACCCAAGCTAAATTCAAACAGATTCATTTTTTTAACAAGCAAAACACGAACAATGAATGAGCTCACACAAACTCAACTAATTTAGAGCCATATATGTAGCAATATTAAAATTGCTAACTCTCTTCAACAAATTTCAGAAATGCCCATGACTTGAAATTACAAGGCGCTTGAACCTTCTCTCTTAACATGGCTTCATTTAATCAAGTAACTAAAATAGAAGTGCTCAAATTAGCAGTGTATTAAATGGAAATAGAATAAAAAATTACAAAGAGTCAGGCCGACCGGCCCGTGCAAATTTCCGGCCGACGAAATTACTTCTTTAGTGGTTATGATTTTTTTCCCCCTCCAATTATTAATTCAGTGTTTGGCTCGTTCGTTAAGTTAACGAGTCGAACACGAACAACACGAATAAATATTTATTCGTTCGCGTTCGGTTCGTTTTGATTCAAAATACTACTAATTAATTAAATATTTGTAGTATTTTTAAAAAGTTTAATTAACTACAAGACTACAAAGATTTATAATCAATTAAGTGTATTAACTAAGAAAATAAAATAAAAAATATTAAATTAGATTTAAATGATGTTTTAAATCTTCCTCCAATATTTAACATCTAATGGCTACATGATTAGGGTTGTCAAAATAACTCTTTGTTCGTGAAAGACTCGTGTTCGACTAGTTAAACAAATAAGTCGAACACGAATATATTTTTTGAGCTCGAAATATAAATAAGCCGGACCCCTAATGTCAACTGTAAATATAGTTTACGTGGGAGAGACGAATGCAATTATTGAAACGCAGAATAGGCTTCAGCACACTGCCCACCAAATGAGCTGGGACAAGCTGGCATGTCATTGAATTACAGTATTTAGAAGGATTAATGAGGGATAATGTTGGCTTTCTGACGAGAAATGGCCCCAGATGTCAAATTTACTTTATTATTTAAAAATATTCATTATTTGTAACAAATTATAATATCTTAAATTTATAAATTCAAATCATGGTTGATATATGATTTTTTTTTTATTCTTATATTATAGAAAATTAAGTGGTAGTGATTATTTTAAAGATATTTATATCAAATTTGAAAATGGTCGTGCATGCAATTTTCAATATTTTGATACAAAATAATTTAAGAATAAGAATATATCTAACACTCATGAAGATAAATTTGTAAATTTTAAAAATATTTATATGAAATATAAAGAGTCATAATGTGAAATACAAAAAATAATTAAATAATTATTGAAAGAAATGCATCCCTAACATGTTAATATCTCCACATTTGGAGAAATATTTGCGTACGTAAGAAGTATGCAGAGTTGCGTACATATTAGGTTATTCGGAGGGTCTAGTAGGTTACACTTAGGTTACAGGAAAAATTATAAGGGGTATAAACTAAGTGTAACCTACCTGTACCCCCCTAATAACCTAATATGTACGCAACTCTGCGTACGTCTTACGTACACAAATATTTCTCCCACATTTGACATTAACTTTTTCTATGATTTTTGCATTCTATTCAATAAATTCAACCAAATCATTACATTATGTTCAATTACAAATTTAAGAATTTCAAATGGCAACCCTGCCTTTTTTTATTTACCAATATGCATGTCATTTTTTTTTTTAATGTTATACTTCTGTCGTATTCTTATTAATGTTTTCTGATGATATCATATAGTATAGAAATTTGCCTTTAC